GTGTGTGTGTGTGTGTGTGTGTGTGTGTGTGTGTGTGTGTGTGTGTGTGTGTGTGGAGGGGGTTAACAAAAATTAAATACTTCTAACCAATTCCGTGATTTCCTCACGCATGTATTAGAGTATTATATAGTACCTTAGCAATACATGACCATAGCAATAGTACGCTGAACAAGTGGTAAAGCCAAGTTGTTGTTAAATTGTTTTTTTCTTCAAAAATATGCGAAATTGCTGGAATTTAATGTGAGGGCATTTTTGCTAGTGGGGGTAAATGTGAAACGAACATCTTCGTATGGAAAGACGCGTGCCGTCGGAGTAGAAATTCGTAGCTATGTCGTTACTGCATCGCTCGTCTCGTACGTGGCAACACATACGAGGGTTGTGCATGTGTTTTACAGTTCCTTCACTTCCTACTAATAATGAAAATTCGATTAAAAATGCTCATGCGCTTGTTGAATAACAAGTGTTAAATCCCTCCGGTGTATTACGTCGGGTACGTTGTATTTTCAAATAACGTCATCTGTGATATATTCTTTTGGGTTATTCCACGCGGTCATTCGTGGGAGCGTGCGTGATTCTCTGCGTGCGTGCGGGTGCATTTATCGCGAAGTTCTGCGCAGTATATTAACTTATTTGTTTTTGCTTGCAGGTTTTGCTAGGATTTACGGATATCCGGTGGGCATCGTGGGAAACAATGGCGTGTTGTTTGCGGAGTCTGCACTGAAGTGCACTCACTTCATTGAACTATGCTGCAAGCGCAAGATTCCGCTCGTGTTCCTGCAAAATATAACAGGTACATTATATATATAACAGGTATAAAGTATAACAGTACAAAAGTACAACAGTACAAAAGTACAACAGTACAAGTGTAACAGTACAAAGTATAACAGGTAAATATAACAGCTACATATTATGGTGTGTAGGCTGACGCGAAGTGGCAGTGAATAGTGAAGGTAGAGCGAGCAATGAAAGCCAATATCTGTGTGAATATCTGTTTTGTCAATGCTCTGTAAGAGCGTTTTGTCTTCATAGTGTTATATAGCAGCGACGTGATAACGCTGGCGTGAGTCTGACAAAGTTCGCCAATATCTCCAGTAAAATATCTCCATAAAAAGCAGACAAAAAACGCTCCATCTTCGCCCGAGGGATAATAACCCCGGACGTGGCTTTACCCGATGTAAAGAGATGTGCTTAAAGGAACAATAGGTCCATTGATTATGCAATGTTAACGAATGCTAGAGTAACTGGCACCTTGTGTTGGCACCTAGCCGCAACACTATCTATACGTGCGTGCGTCCTTTCATCCGACTGCATAACCCATACAACCAAGGTTTTCAGGCTCACATGTGGGTGCCTGTAATTGCATATTAGCCCGGCAGATATGTGCAATATTTGAGGGAATTGTGATTTTTATGATACAAGCATGAGCTTTGGCACACGGTCAGAGCATGCCCCAAGGAAGATTTTTGGCTATAGGGCCATCGCATATTTGTCCCATGGCAACAATGCGCTTCCAAGATGGCCACCATTCAAATCCATTATCCTTCATTTTCAGCTAATATTCAACATAGAAACATGATCTTGGTGCCTAAACTAACATTATCGGGGTCAAGGAACACATTGCAATCAAAATCATTATCGGTCGGAGGCCGCGATCTTGAATTTCAAGATGGCCGCCATTCAAATCCATTATCATTTAATATTTCAGCTAATATTCAACATAGAAACATGATCTTTGTGTCTAAACCAACATTATCGGGGTCAAGGAACACATTGCAATCAAACTGCTTATTGGTCGGAGGCCGCTATCTTGAATTTTAATATGGGCACCATTCAAACCCATTATCATTTAATATTTCAGCTAATATTTAACATAGAAACAAGACCTTTGTGTCTAAACCAACATTATCAGGGTCAAGGAACACATTGCAATCAAAATCATTATCGTCGGAGCCCGCCATCTTGAATTTCAAAATGGCCGCCATTCAAATCTATTATCCAATTCAATTTATTTCAATGCACATGACAATTACATTTTAAAGGTATCATATTGGTTCAACAAATTAATTAACAAAGCTAATAAATTGAAAGAGCTGTGAAGAGTCACAAGAGATTGTGACCATACATAACCTGCTTAATATACATGTTGGATGATTACATGTTGGATCAAAGTGCTCAGCTTTGGTTGGTGGGATGTTTTCAGTGGTCTGAGACCCTTGGCTGAACACGTGCTTTCTTGCCTCATCCACCTTGCTCGTGACACTGGTTCTGCTATGCATGTTGACAACGAACCTTTCTATCAAATTTCGAGTTTGCGAGTCAACTTCATGTGGTTGTGATAGGAGAACAAGAAAGGCACATGTTACTTGAGGATATGCTAACCAAGTTGGACATGCCGACTTCTTCCCATGGCCAAGGAAGCTGGATACAGTGTCACACCCACTCAGGGCATGGAAAAACATTAGTGCTTTCGCTTTCACACCTAGGCTGTTGGGAATTGCATAGATTGGAATGTGTCGCAAGTTTGAACCACCACCAAAGCTGACCCAGTGCATATATCCAGTGCATATCCAGTGGTGAAGCAGGCAGTGGAGATTCTTAATCTTGGTCAGGGACCCATCATCACTGTGGTTCAACTTATGTATACAGTGGCAAAACAAATCCAGTGGAGCTGGCCAGCGACTCACGACGAAGATCACTTTATTGTGATGTTTGGTGGGCTTCACATTGAGATGGCGGCACTCAAGATACTTGGCGACTTTCTGGAGGGGAGCGGCTGGAATGGAGCACTTGTACAAGCTGGAGTTACTACTCCTGGGGACAGCAGATTCCTTTCTGAAAGCCTCCCATGTGACATGCACCCGACGCGTTCATCAAGTCACAGCCAGTAGCCCATTTATCTACAAAACGCCTACACTGAGTACAGCAATAACCTGGACGAGGGAAACGATCTGATGTCCCTGGAAGATTGTTGCACTGAAAGAGCTGTGTCATGTCCCCAGTTCCACTTCTGGTCCATCATCCTGCAGCTGGAGATAGAGGTGATGATCTACGTGCGATCAATATGGGAGGCCGACTTCCTACTCTATATAGATCCCCTGACCAAGATTGTGCCTTGGTTCTTTGCCTTGGGACACACCCACTATGCCAGATGAATACCAGTCCACTTGCGTGAAAGATACTCATCCTGATGTCCACCGCCAGTTTCTGAAAGGAAACGTTTCTGTGAAAAAGACGACACGCAGCTTCTCTGCTATTGCCATTGACCAGGCCCACGAGCAGAACAATGCCTCTGTGAAAGTTGACGGTGGTGCTGTGGGCCTGACAGAGAACACTGCAGCTCTACGACGTTGGCTGGTGTGTGGTCCCGAGATGGCACGTGTGATTGGAGAGTTTAGGGCCTCCACTGAGAAGAGAAAGAAGACTAACACCCTGCACCACGAGCAAACCAAACATGCACAAATGGCATTTGCAAATAATATATTTGCAATGTAGATCTTCTCGTACTGGATACTAGACACTTTGCAGATGCAGCCGTCATCGACACTGTGAACCAGATTGAGAAACTTGAACAGGACCAATATGACACCTTTATCAGCGAGCGCCTGGTCAACCAGACGAAGCCCATCAGAGATCCCATCAACAGGAACAACCTCCCTCTATTCAGCCGGCCTTCAGTCCAAGAAAAGTCCAGGTCCCAACAACAGCTCTCATCCCTGTTCTCTAGGCTGTGCATTGCATCGCAGATACGTGATGGAAATCTTGAGGAGTTCTTTGAGCATGAAAACCAGGCGTGTCCACCAGCATTGTCGCAAATGGGCAAGCTGAGAACTGGTACCAAGTCAGACTTGGTGGGCTGTTTAGAGGACCAGGTTCCTTCACAAGAGAATGCATCCGACCCCATAGTACGGTCATCATCCTTGATGGGGCTGCTCTCGTGAACATGCTACGAAATGGTGCTGCTCTCGTGAACATGCTACGAAATGGTGCTGCTCTCGTGAACATGCTACGAAATGGTGCTGCTAAGACATTTTCCGATTACGCGCAGCAAGTGTTCTCACCATACATGCTGTCTCAGATGCAGCATGTCAGCAGGGTGGATGTCGTGTGGGATGAATATCTCCCTAAAAGTCTGAAGGCCGAAAAACGCAGCAAGAGAGGGAAGGGAGTTCGTAGACGCGTTGAGCCATCCAGTGCCATTCCTGGAACCTGGCCGGAGTTTCTGACAATCAACGACAACAAGGCTGAGCTATTCACCTTCTTGGCATGTAGTGTGACAGTCGTTGAAACTGACAAACAAATAATCAGCACCAATCATGCTGACGTCCTCTATACTCAGCCCCGAGATATCTCAGGTCTTGCACCATGCACACAAGAGGAGGCTGATACCCGCATCCTACTGCACCTAGCAGATGCTGTGAAGGAAGGGTATACCAAGGTGTCAATACGCACAGTTGACACGGATGTGCTAGTGCTGGCAGTGTATATTAAGCAGGTTATGTGTGGTCACAAGCTCTTGTGACTCTTCACAACTCTTTCAATTTATTAGCTTTGTTAATTAATTTGTTGAACCAATATGATACCTTTAAAATGTAATTGTCAGGTGTAAATAAAGTGATTGAATTGCATTGAAATAAATTGAATTGGATAATGGATTTGAATGGTGGCCATTTTGAAATTCAAGATGGCGGGCTCCGACCGATAATGATTTTGATTGCAATGAGTTCCTTGACCCCGATAATGTTGGTTTAGACACAAAGATCATGTTTCTATATGTTGAATATTAGCTGAAATATTAAATGATAATGGGTTTGAATGGCGGCCATCTTAAAATTCAAAATGGCGGCCTCCGACTGATAATGATTTTGATTGCAATGTGTTCCTTGACCCCGACAATGTTAGTTTAGGCACCAAGATCATGTTTCTATGTTGAATATTAGCTGAAAATGAAGGATAATGGATTTGAAGGGCGGCCATCTTGGAAAATGGCCGCCATTGTTGCCATGGGACGAATATGCGATGGCCCTATTGCCAAAAATCTTCTTTAGGGCATGCTCTAACCGTGTGCCAAAGCTCATGCTTATATCTTAAAAATCACAATTCATTCACAGTGCTCGAAATAAGCGTTGTCCGGTTGTCCGAGACAACCAGAATTTGTGCCGGACAACCTAACCAGTCTAAGACATTGTCCGGTGGACAACCAAGAAAAAAGTTGACGAAAAAACGTACTTTATTTATGTTTTTCTCAGTGGTTCTCCAAGAGCACTTATAGCCTGGCGGCCCGCCATTAATCTATGGTGTGGTAAAGCGACGCATACCAGCTGCTATTTCCAACACTGGTATATGTCAGATTTTCTGATTTATGAGAGGTGAACTCGATTTGGAACCAGCAAACCAGCAAGTTCACCCCTACATTTTGGTATTTTTATTCCATTATTATTTTGAATTTTCCGATAGCCCATGAAAAACAAACAACATGCAGTGGGGATTCATGTTGATCCGAAAGTTAAAAAAGAGAGAATTGTCGTAGTCAGAATGAAGGCTGTACATGTACTCAAAAGTGCTGCAAATACTATCTCCTGCAATCTACATTTTCAAAATTTTCTGGGGGAGGACCCCCATACCCCCCCCCGCTTGTTTTTCACCCTCTCCTTAGAATCCCAGACCCACCACTGAACAATTACATATCTTGGGAGCAGAGAACAATGAACAAAAATGTCGCCTATTCACATGGCACCCAAAACAAAGATTGCAGAGAAGGTAGAGGAGCCGTAGGGTGTGGAGAGGGAGGCG